ATATATATATGTATATATGTTATATATTGGTTATATATATTTAAAAAGTTTACTAACGTTAGTGACTGCATGTTTATTTAGTTTTTTTGAGAAACATGTATCTTACATAAAAGCAAACCAAACCCCTCCTTCCAGCACTACACCGTCTCTCTCCAGATGTCCCAGTTTCAGTTGCTCATTTTTTGTCTGAAAAATTCTCTTTAGGCTGAAGCGTTCTCTGTGTCTGAGGCAAGTATTTTGGAAAATATAGGAACAAAAGTAGCAATTGAAACTGCTTTCGTATGGAACTGCAGGTCTTCATGGCTAATAGAGACTATGTTTCCCAAAGTCATTAGCTTGTTTTCCACTTTTGTTAGTATCTAAAAACCTTAGCTAATTAAAAAAGCCTACAGCCTGAGTTCTTCTCAAATCAGAAACTGTCACAAATCAGCTAGTTTCTTGCTTTACATGCAATGATTGAAATAGTATGGAGTTATACCTGTGAATTCAAAGCTAATTGCTTTTTATTTCTTTTGGAACAGTCATAGTTGTATATTTTATACTAGCCTCTAATTGGGCTTGAAACCTTTTAAATCTTGAATAATAACTAAATTTAAAAGTCAGATTTTTTTAAAGTTTTTGTTCTGTTTTTTGTTTTGTTTTTCTCATTCCCTGCGCTGCTTCAGACCAGAGGAGACCAACAGAAGAGTGAAAAATGTAAGACACACTTACTTCAATGCTTTCTGAAACAATTCCGCAGTAATTCTGATTAAGTATTTTTAAGACATTTCCATTTATGGCGCTGTCATGTTTACCTTATTCTTCAGCTGTTCATTTATCTGATGCAAATTAGTGCCATCTTACGATGATCTCTACACAGCTGACTTTCCCAAATAAATGTAATAATTAGAAATAGTACTTATACCTGCTTACTTGAGATAGATGAGATACATCATAACACTCTTTAATTGGTTTTGGTGGAGATTCTAGCTAATGCTGTAGACAAGATTTTACAGCTGATTGTGGAAAACCTTTTACAGCATGCTGAGATGCTTTTATACTGGTACATGGCTTGAGAGGAAAGTAATGAAGTTTATATTTGATTTTTTTATTTGTTTTTTTTTAGGTTTTGATTACACTATACTGGCTTGGGAGAAAAGCTCAAAGTAACCCTCATTATAATGGTCCATACCTCAGTCTTAAAGCATTTGAGAAGTTATTAGGGCAAGCATTGACTAAGGTAAGGAATCCATAAAGAATACTAAACATATAGTCTGCATTTTATAGTCTGCTGTATAGTACAGCATCAACTTTAAACAATCTCTTGGGGGATTAATTTTATTCTTAGTTTGGAGAACATGGTCATTTGTTTTGTTTGTTTTGCTTGCTGTCAATGTTCATGTGAAAGGCATGATTTTTAGCTTACACTGGTTCTTCTGCTACCCGTATAATCATGAAATTCAGAATGCACCTGCTCTTATTGATGTGGTAGATTGTGAAAAGCCTTGTCTTGATTCTCTGTGGCTAAGATAAGAGAAACTTAAGACCTTGTGTTGAATCTCCTATTCAAGCTTTTGTATACGTTGTTTTTGCGGGTGTGCAGTAGTTTTTGGTAAAGCCCATTTGTGCATTCAGAATGCATTTTAAAAATTATTGAGCAAAAACTCATGAGTAGCACTTACACCTTATAATATTGCAAAAGACCTTTCAAAACTTACTCTCATAGGCGCTTGAAGAGTCCAGCCACCTGAACAGAAGTGGCAGGGATAGTGGGTACGGTGATATTTGGTACGTTGACCGGGGAGAGCCCTTTTCATCTTCTGCTAGCCATAAAAGAGACGATTCCTTTGATAGCTTGGACTCTCTTGGTTCAAGATCTTCCACAAGCTTTTCATCAGATATAACCTTGAAAGGTGGCAGTGAAGGTATGTTGGTTTTTTTTTTTTTTCTCTTTGAATCTTTTGTTGACATACGTCTTACGAGCATTAGAGAAGACAATGTATGGACCTAGTACTTCGAGTGCCCAGTACTTAAATTGGCTTGAAAAGCAACTCTAGTTTTGCAACTGCCACAGTTGCATTTTGCTTAAGCAAATATTGACCTTTAACAGTTAGTAGAAACAAAGCAATGCACACATGAATTTTCCTAGGCAGGGTTGCTGGGAGTCTTGCTCTCTCAGCCGCATTAAGGTGTGTGTATGTGTGGGGTATTTTCCCATAGTTCAGGAAGGGAAATTGCTAGAATTCAGATCCTGAGGGGATCACCTAAAATTCAACAGTTAAAAAAGTCTCTAGCCTTGTTCGTAGTGTGGATATGTCAAACCTCTACATCTTCACTCTATTTGTGAATATTCAATACTCAATGGGGGTTTTCTTGCCTAGGTTTAAAACTGAATAGTAGTTGTTACTTTTGATAGCTTGTCATGGAAAGAAAGGTATCAAGAAGAAAGATTGTGACATGGGATCCCTACAGCTGTATCCTAACCTCTGTTTCTCCCCCAGCTTTAAAATTCAATACAAACTTGTAGTCTAATTTAGTTATGAAAATTGTGAGCTTTTGGATTTTGTTCCATGTAAATAACATAAAATCATTGGGCCAAGGCCACATAGAGTAGTTCTGATGTGAGTGAAGCAACGTGTTAGCCATGCTACATATGTGACGTACCCTGGACTTCTACTGGGCGTTAATCTGGTGAGATGAGCATGTTGCTATACTATTTACTGATACCTTGGCTTTGTTAGTAGAGTGGCAAGTATGTTTTAATTAAAAACTTCTGTGCTGTTTTAAATCTTCAATCTAGAGCTTAGCGCTTTGTTTCCTGCAGGGAGCAGTGATAGTGAAAGAGTAGAACAAATGTAGCAGGGGAATGCAAACCAAACTTGGCTTAATGGACCTTACAGAAGCTTTGCCACAAACTTCTAAAAGTACCTCTCCTACTGTCCTGTCAATAGCTCAGCGAGTTTGCAGCCGAAATGTCTTGAATATGGAGTTAAATTGATTTTGGAACATTTTGGTGCAAGTTCTAGCTAGAAGCTCGTGTCTAGAGAATAATGTTTGTGCCTTCCCTTTTCTCCCCTTTCTTCTAAGGTTGCGACAGCGACACAGACTCAGAACTGCCTTTCAAAATGCATGACTCCCATAAAGATGACAGGCCTTACCGTAGGACTTCTGTGATTGAACCGAAACCTACCGCTGACTTCAATCGCTTCTTACCCAACAAAAACAAGCAGACTGCATATGTGCCGGCACCCTTAAGGAAGAAGAGGACAGAGAAGAATGAGGACAACAGGAGGAGCTGGGCAAGTCCTGTCTTCACCGAGTCAGATGGAACATTTTCAAGGTACTGGTGTGTGGTTTTAGTTAAGCAGACTTTGGTTTAGGACTTTTTAAATAAATGGTTTCTTTATTAGTTAAAGAAAAGTTGCTGTTGCTGCAATACAAAGTAAAGTATTTGAGTTTCCATATTTTAACAGGGGGATGTTTTGGTGTGGCTGTGTGGTTGGTTTTTTTGGTTGGTTTTATTTTTGTACTTTGTTCCAAATAACTAGTTTTCTGTTGTTTGAGTAATGTTTGGAGGCTGAGTCAGACTCAAGGTAGAGGGGATTTAAATGGTCTTAAATGCAAGCTCATGAGAGCTAGACCTACAGTTTTAGTTTCTCATTAAAGCATTCCAAAATATGGTGATGAATTTCGGTTGTCCGGCTTCTTGGTGCGTACAGATGAGATTAGTGAGCAGTTCTTGGGTTTCATCATTGCCTTTGTGACTTCACTGTCTTCATTCTCTTCCTGTTTTGGTCAACCTCAGTGGACGTGAAAGGAATCCCGTAGCTTCCTGCCAAAATAGCAGAGCAGAGTGTGGGCTCACAAATCCAGCTTCCCTCCAGATGATCTCTGAGTATGACAGTGGCTCTGATTCAGAAGCTGAAAGAAGGCTGCCCGACGTGGTTATGGATGACTTAGCAAAACGTAGATTTCTAGTCAAAAAGAGCCCTGTAAGCTCTGCTGCACCTGGACATCATTTCGTGTTGCGCAATGACTCTCCTAAATCTTGCTCACAAGAAAGTTATCCAGCTGGTCCACTAGCTGCAATGCTTGAACCACTGAGGTCAGAGATACTAATCCAAGATCCAGTAACTATTGTATTACCCAAATTGCAGTCCGTAAATAACTCCATAAAGTTAGTCTTCTAATTGGCATTTTAACACGGCTGATAATGCATTATGCCTTTTCTGTCAAACTTCGTATTTTTGCCGGAGTTGATAGGATGCTGATATAACCATGTAACTTTTTTTTATTTATATATATATA